TAGACTTTGAGCTCATGCTCAAACTTTTCCCACAAAGAGCCGAGATTTCTACTCAATTCCCAGAAACCATAACGGGTCTCCGTGAAAAGTTTATAAAAATCAATGTCACGCTGCCTACAGTCAGGACTTGACCATCTTAAGCCTTTAGACGGGTCAGCGACTGCGTCAGCAGCACGGCCGAGAATACCGGCACACTTTGCATGACCAAAGCGCTCGCAGAGCCAACAAGAAACGAATCTTTCAGACTCCGGGCCCGTTTTCGCCCGACAAGGTGTATAAACACTCCACGTCCAGTCAAAAAGACAGTTGTGGATTATGAAGAACAGACACACAAATCGCTAAACATAAAAATTTATCAACCAATTTGTGCAAAACTTCTCTGTTAGGTTGACACTGTAACGAGAGATCACTAGCAACCCAAACTACAAACAGCGAAAAAATAACAGAGAAAAAGAGAGAAAACAAAAAAAAAAGAGAGATTTATATCAGAGCTCAAAATTTTTGTTTGCAAAAATCCAATGAATCAAAGCGTAAAGAAAAAATATTTCTTTTAGTTTGAATTCACTCACTTTCTTCTCAAAGTATATTATAAATTCACACACTATAAGGCAGAATAGCCACGAAATTCAACAAAAAATTAAAATATTAATTGCCGAAACAAAATATAGACGACTATACCGCGCGACAGAGTTGCCATACTGAGGAGAAATGCGTTTTTGAATTCTCGATTTTATATTAGGTTTTGTAGGTTGTCTGCTTACTTGGTGTGGTGTTGCTTCTTTATTTCTAGTTAAAAATTTTTCAGGCGTCATAAATTCATCTTTTGAAATGCTATCATCTAAGTCAATTTGCAATTTTTCGCTACTATTTTTGAATATGCCGTCATTGCTCATGTTTTGGAGGAGGATTTCAGATTGTTCAATGTTAACTTTACCATTTTCTACATCAATTTTAGAAAACGCTACTTCGGGTATATGGCCAAAGTTTTGCTTAATTGGTTTTAATTTCCTTCTAATATAAGTATTCAATTCTTGTTTAATTTTGATCCATTTGTTATATTCCGAAAGGGAAACAATGTTGAAATATGGTAACATCTTTCTATTAATAAATTCTGCTGAATATTTGTCGTCCATCATCTCGTCGTATGCACTTGGGTACAACAAGATTACTTTATTTAGCTTTGGCTTAAATTTACTAAACATTATCTAACAATTTTCCGATAAATCCGCTTAATAATGATTATAAGTAAGAAGCCACCACCTTCCTGCACAAGAATTTTTCTTTTAGACTTTACGGACGCGTTTGGTCTCGAGATGAACCTAAGTTCTTTTTTATACTTTTTTAAAACCTTCAAATCTTTATTTTTTAGCTTAGTGTTTCCAGCTATTGTGTTAAAGATAATCTCAGTCAAAGTTTTAATTAATTCATCATCAGCACAGTTGAGTATAGCTTTTCTTAATTTTCTATTATTGGTTTTGAGAGCATACAGCATATGTTTGTGGTTCTCCGGTAGCTTTAAACTCTTTTTTAAGACCATTTTCTCCGGTATCACAGAAGCAATAGCAAAAATTCGGTTTAAATATGTTCGTTCTGTACCTTAATAAATCATATACGCTTTGTGTAAGGCCGATTAATAAATAACCGTGAGGTTTGCTAGTCACGTCTTTATATATTCTCATAAGTTCAGATGAATTTTCTGGATGAATTTGCCTTGCTAAATGTTGAAACTGTAAGATATCTCTAGGATTTTTAAACACAACTACATATTTTGAATTCAATGAAATATCTCTTGTGTGCGACGATTTGTGAAATATGTTTTGTGTTACTACAATGATAGAAAAATTCCTATGGCATGACCCCTTTGTGAAAAGTTCACAAACCGTTTTGTTGAAAGCTCCCATCATTAAGTCATCGAGTACGACGATAGTTGGTTCGTTGAGAACATTTTCCAAATTTTCTGGTATTCCATTGTTATATTCACTATGCGCAACATTATTTATAACAGGTTTCGCATTTTCTTCACCATAACACCAAATTATTCGATCAATTTTCACATTAATTAAGAAATCCTTATTGTGAATAAGATTTTTCAAAAATTTTGTTTGCCTGACCCTGATGGTCCACTAATAAGCATACTAAATGGATGGTAAAACTGATAAAACATGTTGTCTTGTTAATTATAAATTAGAGAATAAACTAGGACTTCATAGAATTCATCATTTTATAAATTTTTATTTATTTAATCTTAAGTAATAACTTCAGTTTGAGTTTGAGTTTGAGTTTGAGTTTTTTTTTAAGATAGATAAAAAGTTTATATAAATTGTTAAGAGCACATCTAAATTTAAAATCATTTCAATGATGTGGGCAGTTAGTAAAATAGTTAGGCAGTTTTCTCAAAGCTGTTTGAGTGTCCACGAATATCACTTTAGATTTTAAATATTTTTCAAGAAATTCTTGTTTTTCTCACGACTAAAACGTACTCATAACTATTCAAGGGAGATAGAATGTCACCTAAGCAGGAATAGTCTATAGCCAGACGATCGCCCCTATATATACTACTGTAATGATAAAAATGCTAATACTCATGACGTAATAGCGTAAGTGGTGAGGTAAATGTTGTATTATGCTTTGGAAGGATTCCCTATACTGCTCGGCTGCAGAACGGCAAGTCTTTCCGTCTCATAGATTTGCCAATGAATCTCGGCATGAGACGGTCCCTAAAACTTTAACTTGGGCGGATTTAACGCCTATTACTTTGTTAGCGAATTAAACGCTTGGTTATTTTGAATTGCTTAATAACAATTAAAATTCTTTATTGAGAAGTGCACTATTTATGCTCAATTCTAACAGGTGACTTAATGCTAACGTAATCACTAATTAATTGGGGCGACTGGCATCGTATTGCATCGTAATGCAATACCCAGCCAGTTACAGTGCGACAAAATTTTTGTTTTTCTTTTTTGCAAATTCAGCATAATTCTATCGCACTTCAAAGTGGATGCATATGACGGTATGCGATCATACTACACTACTCATTCTAACAATTCAATTGTTTTTAATAGTGACTTTAATAAAAGGAATTAAGATTATGAGATTATGAGACACGATAAAGTGAGTCAAGGGTAAACATATATGTGTTAAATAAGAAAATTTATTATACTAACTCACAGAAAACTTGAATCATGGAAGTTATTGGGATTGGGTGAGATATGGCCAATGAAGATTTAATGGCAATTGATATGAAAGTTCAACATATTAATCGTACAAGTTTCGGTCTCTCTGGCATTTGATGTTTTCACATATTAAACACAACCATTTGGTTGCGACTAAGTTTATTTTCAATTTATAAACACAACCATTTGGTTGCGCAATACCATAATCAGCTGTTGATTTTTTAATTGAATAAACGCAATTATTAAAATCAAGTAAAAAAGCTGTAATTTAAAGAACGTCTTCGGATTTATTGATTAAAACAAACAGACAAAGGGCGAAATTATTAACATGATGGTGATCTCAAGAAATTAACCTTCGTACCACATCTAAACAAACTTTGTTTGTGCAAGTCGAAGCGGAACAAGAATATAGTTTTAATTGCCGCCTATGTTGAAAGATATTTGTCATAAAATCATAAAACTAAAAAGCGCATGATTAATTTGAAAAGTGAGTTAGCTGGTTTCTGGGCGAAAGTATTCGCACGTATAAATGTCCATTTTAACTGTTATATATATAAGATTATGTATTATATAAAACCACTTGCATGAATATATCGAAGAATTAACAGGAAATATTCAAAAATATGCGAAAATCGAACGCCAGGTCTCTAAAAATTTACTAAAACTAGTCAGGATGCGTTCAAGGGGAGATAAATGCTCTTTTTTTATATACTTATATAAATAAGATTATATATTATATAAAACCACTAATAATATACATATAACACTTATGCAAAAAATTATTAATAACAATAACTGCTGATATTTATGCATATTATCGGGAATCTTTCAAATAAAAATATTTTAAAAAAAATATTTTTCAATTGATTGTTTACAACGATAACACCATTTTTAAAGGCAAGTAACGTTCTTTTCATGAAATATTTAATGTTTTATGTATTGTTTTTCTTTCGAAATTGCTGTGGTGTCTTTAGCCTATGTGCTTACATACATTTCTTCGCATCTTTGCTGCATGTAAGATCTTGCTGACGGCTCTGTTCATTTTCTCGTCTTCCAAGACTTAAATACAACTTCAGTTATCTATAATATCGCCGTGACTTCTATTGTTTCAAATATTTCCTGGTATATTTCAAAATAACACTGGCTGGTGTTATAAAGCATCTAGAAATTTTAAGTTTTCTTGTTCATTGCGCGGAGGAGCTGACACCTTCGTACGTCAATATGTTTTCGTCCTCGGTCTCCCTCCAATTTATCCCCTGCAGCAGCATGAACAGCGCGGAAACAAATAAATTTATGCGGGGCGTACTCCCGCTTCCGTAGGAACCTCCTCGCGAGAAAAAGTCAATCTTTGCCGACATAGTTGATTGTACACGTTTCGGTATCTCTATCTAAATATTTCATATACTTGGTGGAACGCTTTGTGTACCTCCGCTTTCTGAAACGGCGGTTGCAAGAATTCTGAGGTGAGGATGCAGTTGTCCATAGGATCCTTGGTGACAATTCTACCGCTCACCTCCTTGCAGGCATCTTCTTCACACTGCGCGGCGAATCGAATAACAGGCGTACCCGGTGTGTGCTGCCATTAACTTGTCTTCTGCTGTATACTCTGCTTAAGAATTTCTTCAACATATTATTATTGCATATATTTCTATCGCAGACGATAGCTCGGACGTCGAGCCCAATATCTTCCGCGAGTTGTAAATTCTCCTGTACCCTTATACTTGCAACCAATGGATTAAAAAAGCTCTTATTCGCATATCCGCATTCGCATATCCCATGTAGTCGATCCTCTGGCCGCGAATAAACGGTTTGTCTATTTGTGCATACGTCATCGAGATTTATTTGTACAATTTTATCGCGGACAGTTAACTCCTCCATGAGTTTTTCCAGCGCCTCGTTGCTGTTGTCCACAGCTTCCGGGCACACTTCGCGCCGCCGTTTCTTTTGCGCAGGCGCTGCGGCCGCCGATGTGGACGGCATATCGAGATCATGCAAACTCGGCCTCTCTGGCGTATTTTGCCCGTCATAATCCTCCTAGATTATATCCATACATTTCTCGACAAACGATTCGAAAGTACTCTCGTTGTTTCTATGGCTAAACTATTCTCTACTTCCATGAAACAATCGTACCTTAAAAATTAGCTGTATTATCTAAAGTTGCATAAGATTGTTTCAAATCGTTAAAATAATTCTTCGGTTTTTTTCAATAAATATTTATGTTTATATGTTAACCAAAAAAAAAACTTCCGAATAATTTTTGCTTTCTGCCTCAGCTATTATTTAAATTTTCAACTTTTGAATATGTAAGAAAAGTAAGAGTGTTTGATTTTATTTAATTTTCTCAACAGGTGATATTTGAAAAAGTTGTAAATCGAAAATTGAAGCCATTGCCACGTTAATGCTCTCATAAGTTAGTAGTAATTAGCGATTAGAATTTAATTTTGTAAATTATTTAATCATTCCGCTAATGTAATCTAGTTAAAACGACATAAACTCACTTTTGAGTTTTTCATGTCCCAATCACTGTCTTTGTGTACAAGCATTACAAAACCATATTTTGTGAATAAAAGCAAAAAATAATGTACGATCAATGCGTTACTTTTCAGCTGGATTATAACGGCTTAAGAGCCAAGAAATTTAGAGATTGGAACAATTGAAAAACATGTGCCCTATTAATTATTATAAGAACGAAATTAACATCAATAACAAAATTAAAATGTACTGTATTCACAGAGTTTTTATATTTCTTTCTCGAAGATTCCTTATTACGATAGCTTACTTTAATTTCTTCAAATCATGAACTTGCAGCACTTTGCTCTTTGAGCTGTTCCAAACGCTTAGCTAATCGTCCTTGAGCCAAACGCCGATTTTTAGCTATGCGAGCCATTTGCTCAGATGTCAACTCCTTCACTATTTGTTCCGTAATTGCTTGAGGTTTTGGTAAAAGTTTATCCTTATCATTAAAATTATCCCCACGTGTATAAGGAGTAGACATCGCCGCATGGTCTTTAAAAAAGCTGGGTGTAGTGAAGTTAATACTACCGAAGGAATCACCTTCAATTGTATATTTACTGCTGCTTTGATTTCATATGTTTTCTTTTGAATTCGCCATGCCGACCTTTGATTTCTTGATGAGCGATGCTTGTTTTTCCCCACATTTTCATATTTTTATTGATTCTCATTACATTTTAGGGCTCAGCCGGCAAAATATGATAAAATAAAGGAAATGATCCAAGATCCTAAAGATGGTCAACAAATAGTGCGAATTATTTCTAGTCGAGATAACAATGTTCACGAAGGTGAAACGGCCGATACGGAAACTGAGAATTTTCTGGGTAAATGGAATAAGTTCTAATATCACACATGAAGAGACTTTTTTTATCGTTTGATAATGTAACTATGCCCACAAAATTCAGAAAAAAACTTTGGAATTAAACGAAGCGATTTCATTCTAGTGGAACCAATGGAAGAAGGCGATAAAGTTAAAGCAGAGATTTGTAAGTTCTTAACAGCCGAACAAATCAGGCAATTCATCAAGACTGGTATTTGGCCGGAATGCTTTAAGAGATAACGAATGGACGTTACGCAAGTAATTATGTTAAAGAAACTTGTGATGAAAACGTAGAGGGATTCGAAGAAAAATTCAGTGGACCTTGTCATTTATTTCCGAATAGAAATCGGCCAAGCCTTTTAGTAGCATTTGAAGATGAAAGTACAAGTTCAGAAGACGACAGCTAACTTAAATGCTTACCAATTTACATAGCAAAATGTGCAGAATAGGTATTTTTAATATGTACCATGTAACTCGATCACATTTATTTTTATAATTTTCTTTCTACTCGAGAAAGTCGTTAATTGCATATTTAAGTATTAGAAAAAAATGTGCTTGACAATAAATGATAAATGTGAATTCAAAAAAAAAAAATCACGAAAAGAAACGACGTAGGGAATTTAAAAGTATTGATCTTTGTGTGATTGCTACTTCTGAAATGCAATCATCATGACTAAAAAAAAAAACCTTGAGCGGGGTTTTAAGTTAGTATATCAATAATTTTTAATAGTTGTAAAGTTGCATTTTCTTGTCTATTTTAAGAAATTATCTGCTATAGACTGTAAAAGATAAATAAAAATTAAAAACGGTTCATAATAATTGACTCTTTTTTTTTTTTCTTAACAAGTAAGTGCAAAGTGGCTACTTAAACATTAAACAAAGGTTTGAATTTGTTTCTGCCATTCCTTCTAAGTACCAAACATTGGCATATTGTCTTAGGAACAGTTCATAGATGCATGTATGCACAGAGGGTGTATCGACTACTAAAGAAATATGTTTCAGGGACTTCATCTAATAACAATGACATATGCATCGATATTACTTTACCAGTAACTTCGTCTACTGTAAAGTAAAAAAGTTTTTTTTTTAATATTTAAAATTTTTTCAAAAATTAAATGAAGAGGCTTTATTAAAGTCTTAGGAATGTACGTAACGGAAGACGTGAAAGACGTGACGAATTCTCCCAACAAGTGAAAGACGGAATTGTAATTGCTTGCAAGGACAAGCAAAAAAGGAATTTGACCGCCCTCAAAATCAGTTCCATGTATAAAAATTCGGCACTTTAGAGAGTAAGCGTATAAAAATTCGGTACTTTAGAGAATAAGCGTACATGCTTGTTTACACTTCTCAATAATTGAACATGTGTTTGTATAAAAATTGCCAACATATGAGAGTAAGCGTATAAAAATTGCGTTTGTATGGAGAGACCATACAAGTGTAATTATTTTATATTAGTTGCGCTCTTCTCTCGTATGACAAAATTAAAAATAGAAAGGCCCGAGAAGAACAGTAAATTTTTCACATTTTTTCCCTGTAAATCACTTTTTCATCAATGTTGAGAAAAGTTTTATTAACATATTTTCGGTTTTTTAAATTTTACATCATTTAAATAATTATCAAAAACAAATTAAACTTAAATATAATTTAAATACCATATCTTTTTTTGTTCTTCCGATTATGTACACAACAAATACAATATATAAAAATTTTACCGTTTATATCTTCTTGCACAGTAGTCATGTTTACGTACGTGTGTGTGCGTGCTCTTTTTCTCTTTTTTTTTTTTTAAATGGCAAATATTTTTAAATTGTAATTATCAGTATCATTATTAAAATTTTCAAACTGGACGGCTCATATGGAACTCTATAAAATTCTATATATATCTATATAATTAGACATTAAAGTGAAAATAAAAGTAGATATTGTGTGAACTTTGGCTGCTTTTCATTTTTTATTCAAATACTTTTTATTTTTTACTAATTTATTTACATATATCCTACAAAATAGAGCTTTTATAAAAAACAAAGTTTCAAAGTCTGATTTACGAAAATGCTAACTGAAAGCAGAAAGATATTCGAATAAAAATTCCTTAACGAAATTAACTAAATTTTGAAAAAAAACAAATTACAAAAGATTTCGGGAATGATTTTACATACAAAAGCACACATGCATAATATGACATATATTTACTATGCATAAAATGTATAAAAAATGCAAGAATATGGGGAAGACATCTACAGCTTTAGTATTTTAATTAAGCTAAATATGGATAAAAAAGTAAAGTGAACAAAATGTAGTTCTTGTAATTTCGTTTTTATAAGTACAATTACATTAAAATTAACGTCTACGGGCAATGAGTATCCGGTCCATTTCTACATTTCATTAAGAGGTTAACCATGCCTTCCAATTTTAAGGTGCGTGTTTCGGTATTGTAGAGATTCGTTTGCAGGCGATTAATATCAAATTGCTGTTTCTCCAGATTAATTAAACGACTTTTCAATATATCCACCATTTTATAGGTATTCTGCACGGTTTTCTCCAAGTCGTGTGAACCTATTTTTTTTTTTTTTTTTGCAACTTTTTTGATCATCTTGCAATAGGAAGCCTTCGCGGCATTTAGAATAATATGAACCCATAGTTTCATTTCTTCGTAATAATAAATAAAATATACCAATTAATTCATTTAAGGTTAAAAGCGATATAATCGATTCCAAAATGCGATTTAAACAACTCGTAATAGTGCATCGTTTCATATCTTCTGCAATTTTCGAGAGTTAAGCAAAAAAAAAAAAATCAAGCATTTCACCAATTTTCTCGATTAAATTTTATATTGCTCTTCTCAATCATTTGGTAACTTGAGAGAGCGAGTGTTTGAACTTCGAATTTGTTCTTTGAATAATTCAATAAAGAAAAAATGCATTTCGCGCATTATCAGCGCCATCTACTATCATATGGAATAATAAATGGTGAAATAAAAATGTATGAAGCAAATACAAGCTGGAATGGAGAGAAAGCAACGCAGGATGTGCATAAACATATTTACCTCGAAAATTTTGTTTTCTTAAAATGGGAATGTGAATACGGTAGACGCTGCAACCGCCGTAGATTAGTTTGTTCCTAATAATACCATCGATATGGGTGTCAAATTAAAAGAACTTGGAGAGTAGAATGCGAAAAATGTAGTGGTGGATATGAGAGTTTCGACTGCCAACGATTTTAACTTTCTTACGTGTTTTGTGGTATCGTTATGTGGGTAACAGTATTAAGTGAAGTGACGTAGGGTACTTAATGGCGCGCTGTTCACAAGCGTTTTTTAATTTTTTTTTAAATAGTTAAGTGTCTTTATGGTCGACTCACGCGCACTTTTAAGCTTTTCCACAAAATCGATCCCGAAAAAAATCCCTTCAAGTTGCAATTATTTAGCTGCACAATTAATTCAGCGTAATTTCCAATATCAAAAACGAACAAAAATATAGAAGGAAGGCAGAATTTTATGCTTATGCCTTTACCGGCGCTTTTAGCGTTAATGAAAGGAAGAAGAAAATCGATTGAACAGACTCAAAAAACCTATGGGTATTGAATTCACGATACGCTTTAGCACGTATAGCTTCTTGCTTGGTTGGTGGGTACAATTAATAAGTCTTATCTGTTTATTTAACAATACTCTATTATAGCTCATGCTGTAATGATCGCTTATTAGTTTATGATGATTTAATCTAAGAAGTACTTGAAGGCAATCTTGCTTGTAGTTTTGTTGGATTAGTTTTATCAAAAAATATCTGCAGGGAAGGGGATCATATATATCCCTTTTCTTGTCCAAAAACTTTTGGCCATCTTACAGTAGAGTTTTTATATATTTATTTTTCTAATTTTTTCTGCGTTTTTAAAAGTAAATAAATTAATCAGCCTTCGTGTCCCATACTTTTGACTAAACGACTTGTATGTACTGAGGGGTGTGTATGTATGTAAATGTGTAAGATATAAAAAAAATAATATATCTAGGTGCCTGATTCTCAACGAAGATTTCTTTCTTCTCAATATTATCTGCAAATTTTTTTCTCTCAAAACTCAATATTGATAGTTCTTTGGGAACACAGCTCGCGCCGGCAAATAGGTCGGGTCTTGTTGATTCCGATAACGACGAGCTAAAAAGACGGCAAGCAGCTGAAAAAAAAATATAAAAGAAATGTTATTAAAATATGTCTATAAAAGAAAAATTTTGTTTTCATAAAAAAAAAGCAAAGTATGATTGGTAATACCCTACACCACAGTCGATGATAACAAGAAACTGTTGTCAGCTCCATTTGCAGATGTTATAAAAGGTTAGGTGAAATTTCCTTAAATCTTATATAAAGCATATGATGAAAATTTATATGACCTATGTCGAAAAGAAAACGCAAATGTTCCGTAAAGTTGAAGGGCTTACGATAGCTACGATGGCTACAGGAGAGCTTTTCAGTCTAACATATAGTTTGAGAGTTTCTTGGTAGTGAGTAAGTTCGTCGTAGTCCGGTTGCGGAAGGTCTTTAAAATGTCTGTCCATGTGTCTAGTTCACTATCGTTATAGGTTAGGTAGATTATTGGAATTATCAAGGTTGTCACATCTTTATTATTAACAAGAAAGCTTTTTTGACAGTCAAGCTTGATTTTATTTATGATGAGCTTGAAAAGCTTTATCACTAATCTTCAGGAATTATTTTTTATGAACGAACTATGTTTTTGCCACTGTAAGTCAAGGTATTCAAAGTAGTTTGCGCTTTAAGCCTTATACAGATTTTTGCCATCCAACTTAGTTTGGACGATTTACAGCAATGTTCCCAAGTCACTGTTTCATCTTTTGCGAGATACTAAAGGGACACTCGAGGTACGAGTGTCTATGATTGCCACTTATAATCTTGAATGCTTCTTCGGTATATATATACAAATTCCTGATGAACATATGGTTGCAACGATTGCTTTCCCTTCCTACTTAACGATTGCTACGGTCTTCAATTCGTTCCACCTCTAGCTGTTGGCAGCAGGCCGGGCCTTCCTATGACTGCCTTGGGGATTCTAGTATGTTGCATTTTTGGTGATATCGGTTTGTCTCCGCATACTCAATTCATCGCAATTCGGCTTCCTTATTTCGGATTCAATTGATATCTGTTCGGTTGCGACCCGTAGTTGTTCGTTACTAATGGTGTTTGGCGAGAACAGAGCGATTGTTGATAGATACGTGGAAAGCATTAAGATCACCACGAGCCGCATTCTATGATCCGCTGGAGTAGGCCGCAACTAATTTCATGCAGAGAAGGTGGGAGAAGGTGGGATTTCCACATAGAGTTAAATTGGCGATAGGCTTGTCTGACTCTTGGCTGTACGGTGCGCAATGTATTTTTTCGATCTCCTTATTATTGTTATTATGCCACCCAAGTAGAAGAAATATTGGATGGCTTCAATCTGTTGTTGCTCCACTTTAAATTCTCGCACACACAAATCAAGTTGAATTCTGTAAAAGTCTCGCTTCCGAGTACTACAGTCACTCTTGGTCATAAGGAAGGAGTTGATTATTAGTGAATCGAGGAAAAATATTAATATAAAAATAATATTTAATTACTTCATTTCGACGTTAAGCTAGTAGTGTAGTTTATTAAGGGCTAAATAAATTTCTACCGGGATGACACGAAAGGAATTTCAATCTTCTGCTCTCTTTTCTTCCTATTATTTCAATTGAGAAAGAAGAGGAAAGAAAGCATATCGCAATTATCGGAAATTTTCGTATTGCCAAGCTAAACAAACAAAAGAAACTAGAAGGGGAAACTTATACGAGCCTTGGAATGGTTCTTAATCATCAAGTGGAATCGGTAAAAAGAAAATTACAGAGTGTTTCGGTAAATGCGATCTCTCAACACGATATTAAACTTTTATATGGGAGATATTCGAAAATGTTTTCATTTTAATTTGATTGTAAGCTATGGCCTTTTGTCTGTGCCCGACTAAGAAGGATCGGATGGAGAATTTTTGTATTTTAACAAGTGTTTGATGCTTATTGTTAGTTGTATGCTTTCCTCTTTCTTTGCTGGAAGATGTGAAAGTTATGATATGAAAGAAGAAGATGCGAAAAAAATCTTGGAGCATAACTTTGAGACTTTATCCCTTTGGACTGATGGGTTCGAGAGTATTTTCATAACTTTGGCTGCGGCATTCTTATTGTGGATTATACCGCACTTACTTGCCTCAACGTTTCAGTTCATATATGCTGCTATCTGTAGTCCTTTGTGTATTTTGAATGCCGTTATGAGAGCATCGCAATTATTTTAAGATGTGATTTGAATCCGTTAGCAAAGACAGCATACGACATAGCATATGTGATTACTTCAATTTATGTAAAAGTGCCTATTTCAACAACAAAGCCAAAGCCTTAGAAAGAGATAGGCAAACAGACTGTCTAAGCCGATTAAGAATCTTATGCTAATCAGGAATCGGGAGTAATCAGGATTCAAAGTGTGCCATATTTTTCAGTGTAACCAATGCAAGAATAACTCTATTATGTCCCACAGGGTTTGACGAGTCATGTTGCATTCATATACTTTGAGGCGAATGTTCAACGCCACGCCTTTTTGACTTCAACATCGAAAAATTTCCGTCAACCAGTACTTCCACCTTCTACTTGTCGTTAGTCAAAAAGTTTCCTCTTTGTATCCTAGGCATTTTCGTTGGCGATTCGTTGACTTGTTTCCTAACTTCAGTTGTTGTCCTGACTACACAACTATCTTTAGATTACCTTTACAATGTTATGCAAAGGAAGGCATATATGAACTCGTCAAGGTCGCTTCACATTCTTGTTTACATCTTCACTATACTTTAGATATCGTATACGTATTACGCTAACTCCTTTAGGTGACGGATGTAGCAAACGCCGAAGAGAAAAGAAAAAAGCGAATAAATTATAAAAAAATGAAAAAAATCGGTAATCTCTACTAATAATTAAATGGAAGTGCTCACCAAAATTTTTACATAACTTGCGGTTGAATGTGTTCATTTAGCGCTTTAGTTTAGTTAGAAAAGTACAAGTTTAAGTAAGTTTTCCCGATGACCTTTTCACTATAAATCCCTGCACTTTTCAATGCTCACGAAGGCTGCTTTTGAAAATTATAATTAATTGAAGACTTAAGAACTAAGAGTTAGCTTTGCTTAAACATAAGTAAGTATATAATAATATATATGTATATATGTAGATATTGATATCTGTGTATATAATGACGTTACATTAATAATAATAATAATAATAATAATAGTAATAATAATAATAGTGTGAAAAATCCATTAAGGAAATTGCGAACAATGCTTCAGTGAATACATGGTGAAATAGTTAAACGAATAAAAACAAAAAAGAAACAAAAAGCAAAGAAAGTAAAAGATTGAAAGGAAAGAAAGTATTGTGATCCAAAAAGAAAAACAAAACGTTTTCTTTTAAAGAAGTTATAATCAATATATGAGAAAAATGAAAATTTAAAGAAAAGCGCTGGGCAAACCACGAGGATCTTTTTGATTACGGTAACGTACTGTTAGCCAAACACCAATAAACTGGTGGGGGGGTGATAGGTAAGCATATTAATTTTTGCAAAAACAAAATGGAATAAAGTTTATATCGTTAGATAGATAATAAAAACTATATAAGAAAAACTTTCCAGTTATCACTTACCTCAGTAAAACTGAAGAATATACCCAGGCCGCCGCACAATTTGAAGGCGTAATTAATTTTATCTTCTAATTTGTACAAGCAAGGTGGACACTGACAATTTCCAGCTATGCCAGAGCAGCACTCTTTCTGAATTAATTCGCAAGAAGGATCGTTGCTCGATACGCTGGTCAAATTGAAGCCGCAGCACAGAAATGTATCCTGCACCTCTTTACGCATAGAATCGGGAAAGCGATTCCATCCTTCTTCGGCGAATTCTTGTTGTTGTTCCGAATTCACCGCTAAACAAGAGCTGGCAATTGAGAATTGTATGAGGAAAAGTAAAAAGAGTACAATCATGTACTGCATGCATGCGTGCAAATGAGCAAAGTTAAAGTAAAAACCATGACAACACCGTTCGGAGGAACAAATCTTTGGGAGTCAATTAATAAAAATCAATTTTTTCTTTTTCGATTGTATTAATAAACTTAAAAAATGTTTAAAGGGAAAATCGAGAAAATCTCAAAGGCGAAATGTCTTCAGATCACTTAATAAGCCAATGTTGAGGTTATATCCGATCTTCGCTGCCATTGCAAATGCTCTTCAAAACCTAATAAAATTTCGTTCTTCTTTTCTTTCATTTCAGGACCACTAATGAATCTAGTGACACATAAATGCTAAAGTCCATCAAGTTCCATTTTCCTTATAACATTCTTGCTATAAACAGTGCATATCATTTACTCAATTTGCCTACGGAAATGGAAAAGCTAATTGTTTGCAAAATATTATTTACGTCCGCGTTTACATATAAGCGACGGTAAGTTCTTTTAAAGCATTACAATACAACAACAACTCTTGCGTTGCGATATAAGTGCGCGTGAAAAAATACGCGTAAACGAGAAAATTATGGAAATTTCAGATAAGTAATTATACATAGATTCAATAAGTTTGGCTTATTACAGGTCGGCCTCTCTTGTTTTGTGCGCCTAAAAATTAGGAATCGCTTTGCATAAGTTAGATTTAATTTTATTGCTGTAACTCAAATGCTTAAAATGGAAAATTCAATTCCAACAAGCAAAGCTATACGCATATTGAAATTGGCCTAGATTTTTATAATACATTTTATTTAAAAATAAAAATATTTTCTCTATCGGGCACAGTGGGAGGTCATTGTCAGATATGAACTTTTATCTGTTCGGGACTTTTTTTTTTCTATTCTTGGCGATAATTTTCTTTTGATTTATTCAAACGAGTCTCTCAATCGCGAAAAGCATAAGCAAAAGAGAATAAGTAAGAAAATTATATTTGAATGTGACTGAAATGTTTGATATCCGTCAACGTTAAAAGAAAAGCAAGGCAAACGAAATATCCATATTCTACTCTAGGACGTGGGCGTGGCTGATTTTATGCGTTTCTATACGAACCATGAACATTTCTATGATTACATCTGTTGTAGTTTACAAAGCAATGAGAACAAGAAAAAATGCGTATTTTCTTGCTTTTGGAAAGAATTATGCGTGTGCTGTAGGGTGTCGCTTCGCTAGCTGTTCTAGTCTACTTCAAATACCAATCGAATGCAAGAGCTACTAATGTTTAAAGCATAAGGTCAACACTATATCTCAAAATTTCCGGAGCACTCACAAAGTTAGACGGACAGACACGGCAAAATCGACTAAGACTATACAAACTTTGTTGAGTTCCTAAAGTTTTTCCCTGTGCCAACCTTCTAACAAACCCGTATACCTCCATTCTTAGGTAATAGATATTTAGGCGACAAGTCAGCTTGAACTTCAAGTTATCAGGAAAAGGTTTTTTCTTATGTTCGCCATATAGTGTAGTTGCAGTGTCCAAACATCTATTTAAAAATAGTATAAAATCGCGGGCTCAAGTCGGGCTTTAAACGTCTTTTCGCTCCCTAGGGTCATGTGAAGTATAGAGAGAAAGCATGATCGTCCGTCTATCTGTGTCTCCTATCATCTGTATCAATTTTTCAAACGATGTGCATTTTTTCTCTTACAGGCTTCTACTCTGCAATAGCAATTGTTATGATTTGATTGATAAAAAAAGTTATACTATAACAACCCAAACAAACGTCATTCCCACCTCGCTTGCCTAAGTAATTTTGGAATCTATTTCCCTTGCTTTTACATTCTTCTCCGTAATGCGATCGTTCAGTTGAAATTGAAAGAAAGATTCAAAAATATCGATATTCTTTGTTTAATCTGATTCTCCACCGTAAGAATTTCGAATACACAAAGATCGTGAAGCAATTTCAGTGGAAACGAACATGAGCGTATTTTTCTCAACAATTCATAACTTATCGCAGATACCGACTCAGAATTTAAGCAAATTATAACATAATGTAAAAATTATCCCAAGTGGCCTACCAACGCAATCCGGATTCTATTTTTTTGTTGATTGAGGATAAGTGTTTCTTAATGATGATGCGTGTACGGTACGTGTATTATTCTAAGTCTCTACTGTATCGTTCGAGTTAGTTGCCAGAAGTTGAATTAAATGGATTCTTCGAATTTTTCAAATGACAACTTTTTCATCATAATTCTGAAATCATTTTTCTTCCATTTCTCATTTCTTTCGCTTGAAATAATTTTAAGATTTTCTTGCTTGTTTTTCCATAATGAAAATTATTTTTTCAAGAATTTTTTTTTTTTATATGTACGTATATAGCGATGTATGAGTATGCATGTAGATAGAAGGAAAAAATGTAATGTGGGTATGCGAGTTACGGCCCCAACGAAAATAACATTCTTACTTGTTTTCTCTGCAATCGAAATAAAATGTATTTAAGTTTTTCTGACCACGATAACTTAAGCTAAGCATATACACATTTAGTCATCATAGGGATAGGTTTTGGACCAAAGAACTTGTAAATATACTTCAGAATATATCTATCGGAGTGGCATTCTCTCCCCGCTTATTAGCAAACATACCCCGACATTTATCGGAGACTTTCTAGTAGCCATTGCAGAGCGTTTACGTATTGATCGGACTTTTGGCAACGGTCCAGTTGGTCTCAAACACGCGCGAGGCATACAATGTTCATTGCTAGTTTGCGATTGTAATCGTGCAATGGTGACGAAGAGTGGCAGAGAATTGAGATAGATTTCGCTTTAAGAGCAATGGTTTATATATGTGTAATCGCTGTGCCACTTTACCCATCTGGAATCCAAGGAGTTAACCCCTCAGTGATGAATACTCACTTCGATGATCACTCACTTCCTGTGCCATCAATCACTATGTAGTTAAACACAATGTAGAGGGATGTCTACGCAAATCGTTGAAGACACTTGGGTTGTATATAGCGCTTGTTGGAAAAAATGTGTCACGGTCTTAGCTATATCGGCAGAGCATTTATATTTTCCTGACAAAGAAAAAGATGAATAGGTCCCGTCGGTTGTCTACCGTCCGTCTGTCCACCGTAAGTCAGTCTGTAACCGTCTGGAGTCCTCCCTACAGTGCCATCATATGCACACCCCTTCGTCTCAGCCACAGCGGAGGCAGCTCGCGCTTAGCCACTCATCGGGGACAAAAAAATTAAATAGACTAAAATGACTTACAATACAAACATCGGCGTCGGTGCAGTGTCGGTCGCGGTAGCTGCTACATCGGCAATCCCTCCTCCTCTTTCTAATAAGCCTTTTCCACTCCAATAAAAACTTTAATTTCCATTGCTGTGTGTGTAGGTGCACGCGTGTAAACGCTGTTTGCAATAATAAACTGGGATCTTTTTGATGATAATGTTGAAGAACTTTTTTATTAGCAATTTCCTGAGTTTTTATAAATAATTTTTACAATTTTCTTTATCTTATCTAATTAATTTCTCTTCCGAACAAATTTCTTAATCCGTGTAGTTTTCTTTTTTTTCTTTACTCCAATTACGTTTACTTTGTCAAGTTGCTGTATTGGTTATTTTTTTTTCCTTTTTTTTTTTTTTATATAAATGCTTTTCTATTTTTTTTTATTGTAAAACATTGTTCTGCTAAAACTTTCCATAATACTTCATTAATACTTCACGACCATTTGTTCATAAAGGTCACCTTTTACCAATAATCTTCTACGTTATTCACTTGATAAGCAAACCTTTTGCTTCTTGTTCGACAAAAAAACGTATTGAAAGAACGGTGCAGCCATTACCCTTGCCTTGATTCTCTTATGTTTCTTCTAATTGTTCCACCTTCCTTTTTTTTTATTGTGTTTTTTTTTTTGTTACTCCTCTTTTTTTTTTAATAAAAAAACGGTTTAGACTTCATTTTTGTGGTTTAATTTTTGCTAATTTTAACTAAAGACACATTGACGTCACTCACGTCGCCTTTGTTGCTTTACTTTGAGGTTTTAATTAAAATTTATCCTTTTTTGAGGTTTTAATTAAAATTTATCCTTTTTTTGAATTTCGATATTTTCCGAGTTAATTTATTTCAAATTTCAATTGCACAAAATTTTTCTTTCGCGTATTTTTCTATTTATTTCTTTTCTTTTGACATTGTTAATGGTCAATTTTCAGTTTGAGCCCATATTTCAGAAAAAAGAAAAAACAGCCAAGGCTCAGCCGTACAATCAAAAAACAATCGGAAAGCAAGCGCACTCGTTGAGGTCTACTCTGCAACTCCACTAGAACTAAACGCAACTTAAAACTATCCCCTCGCATGATTTTTTCCTTTTCTGTCTTTTCCTTTTTTTGTTTGCATTGCTACATAGCGGCTAGCCGCTACTCTTGCAAAAAAAAATAGGGAAAGATTCCGCAAAATCATACGATTTTGCCTATGCTTGCAAAAGCAAAGAACAAAGGAATACCGCAAAATCATACGGTTCTGCCTGTACTTGCAAAAAAAAAGAGTACAGCAAAATCATACGATTTTTTTGGCCTATGCCTGCAAGAGCAAAAGGAAAAAAGGGTACCGCAAAATCATGCGATTTCGCCTGTTGCTATGCAAAAAGGGAAAAAGAAGAGAATAAAACACTCATATCCCGCAAGATCATGTGATTTATAAACAGTACCACAAAATCGCATGATTTTGTCTAACGGCATGCCGTTATTCCGATACTTGCGGTTGATACAGACCGACAGACCCCCTACCCAAGGTTTGTTCGCGGCCGTTACAAATGTCATCACACATTAAACATATATCTTTTTAAAATCACAAATGGAATTATCATGTAATAAGGTAAGTTTTTCCGCTGTGTTTCAGATCAATTTTATTTTCATTTAGTGATGCCAATAATGTTGCCATTGAACTAAAAAAACGAACAGAATTTCTCTTTGGTTGAATAAATAGATAAACGCATATAATGTTTATGATGAATAAGGGCTCAATTCCTGTGTTACCTGGCGTCCCTCAAGCGAAGCCATGTTGAGAGTATTCTTTTCTTTCTACTTGTAAATTATTTCATAATTCTAGTGTTCAGAATTCTACGATTCTACTTATTGTGACGTAAAAATTTATCATTCCTTCGACGCGCTAACTGATATTCACTTTTTCCAGGGCAATTTG